CCCCCCCCCCCTTGCTGGGATCCTGGGCAGGGAAAGTGACTGCTCTCGCATCTATACCCTGCAGCTCAAGATAACCTTAAGCTTCAGTGAAGTTTTACCCACAATCCCATGGGGCTATATTTCCTGAGTGCAGGTGTTAGTTTACAAATTGTGCTGCTATTTTCTCTGTCATCCCCTTGTTCGGAGACAAAAGGCGTTGGCGACTTCTTTGAATCGTTAGCTTTCCAAGGACGATGGTAACCCCCTCCCGTAATCTCCAGCACTGGGACACAAACAACATTTTTCATGTAATTTTTCATGCGTGTTTTGATTTGTATGTTTATTTATTTCACCTTGATCTGACTTACGTGCCATGCGCCAGATGTAACCTTTCGGATTTTGGTTGAGTGGCTTAATATTGAACAGGCTGAAATAAATTGTCAGGATTCACTTCATTGGCTGAAGTAATGGGAAGAAGAAACTGACATTCTACAGCACAGAGAAAAAAGTGTACAAGGGTGTTGGGTACTGCAAAGCAATGGTTTGAGGAAACCTTTGGTGTTTACTGTTAGTTCTGGAGACTAATGATACGCTACTGTTCCCTATTATACGCATGTTTCACCTTAAACACTGTGGAAAAAAACAGACACACAGAACGCCACTTCTAAAAGCAGCAGCCAGCAAAGACTAATAAATTATTGAATGCCGAAAATTTGCACTATGTAACGTGCTATTTCGAAAGCGTGGGGCAGATGCATCAATCGCGTATGAAATGCGGAATAAATGGCGAGTGACATATCAGCTTTCTGCTGGCTCACTTCCCCCTTTACAGGTGTCTCTGTAGGCCCAGCCAAGTAATGGAACAAACATAGGAAAGAGAGGTCCTTAAGCAGAAATGCCCGGCCCCTTTTTAAATGGACATTCTGGCCTGGGGACAGGAATGTAAATAAATAAATAATGAAAGAGATAAATATTTGGATGTACATCCTGGTCCCCCCCCTTTATCTCTCTGGTTCTATCTTCTGAAGCCTATCACCTGCTGTAAATTGAATTAAGATTAAGTCGGGGGGGGGAGAAGCAGCATGAGGTGGTTGGTGAAGCAGCCTGTGAGAGCGGTAAGGAAGGCTCACGGAACCTTTGTATCCCGCCCGTCGAGGAGGAGCTCGCAGGTGCGGCAGTAAACTGGGTTACGGGAGCCGTGGGTGCTCAGGACGAATAACAGAGGGGAGCCAAAATAACAATCAAGAGCTGTTTGGGGTAGAATGAAAAGTATTTTAAAAATTAATATCGGGTATGTTGACTGGTGGAACAAAATGGATGACAAGGACAGGTGTTGGGATCTGGTTAGGTTTCCAGGGGAGGAGAAAGTATGGAACACATCGCCTTACACCTGGAGTGAGTCACCTACAACCATGGTCACCTGACTCTTTCCTGACACAGTCACTCACCACTCTTCACACACAGCCATTTAATACCTGTCTGTCTTTAGACAGCATTCACATGCTCTGCTATCCCATGTCAACTGTTGTTTGTTTACATCTCACGAATGCCAAAAACATTGGCCTGCAACCCATCCATCTTCTGACAACTTATCCTGGACATGATCATGACTGGAGTCTGTCCCAGGCAGCAAAGGGCACAAGGCTGCAGCACAACGTGGACCAGATTTGAGTCCATCGCACATACACACAACTATACACTGCAGGCAATTTAGAGATGCAGATTAAACTAACTGCATGTCTTTAGATTGCAGGAGGAAACTGGAGCATGAACCACTGGGAGATTAAACCCCACAAAGACAGAGTAGAGGTGAGATTCGAACCTGCAGCCATGGAGATGTGAGGCCATCGTGCTACCCTGGATTATAATTCTAGTGGCAAATAATGTATGCTATAATTACTTAAGGGGGGCGTTTGGTGATGGAAAACAGCAAAGTATAAGACAGAAAGTCTTCACTGGCATTCTACCCTGAGGAACCAGGCAACAGCAGTGCAACGGCTGGCTGAGATGCTGTGAGGTCTGTTCTGAGCAAATTGACAAGGTGAATTGGTGGATGGATCAAAGTTTGGATTAAATAAGACCACTGTGTTATTCTTCTATATATTTAATTTGAAAATTATGCATTTTGCAGATGATCCATTTCACTACATTAAGATAGTCGATAGCGAGAAGACCCCAGACAGTAAATTGTATGCATTTAGCGCGATTGTTTCTAAGTTCACAATGGCTGATGAATGGCTCTGTCAAAATCCCAGCCCGCCGCTGATTGAGACGGAGATAGGCTTGTCCTCGCCGGCAAACGATCTCGTTGATCTTTCATTTGAACAGCGCGTGGCGTACGTCAGTCTAACAGAGCCATGCAGGGGTGGCTGAAATGTGGCGAGCGATGCTGCAGGATGTACGGCGCTCCCCGCGAGCCCGGCGTGTCAGCCTTTAACCCGGAGCGCGTGCCGAAAGCTCACGGCGAACTACAGGCTCTGTCAGTGAATGCCATGATTGAATCGTTCCATTGCTCTGTCACCAGAGGGACTATTACTTCAAATTAGCATACAAATTCAAACCAGGAGAGATGGATTTGTCATATCCCGGCTGCCATCTTCTTCGAAGATTGGGAACGCTCGTGCTGGGTGATGGAGATAGCACACCTGGCTGTACTGGGGGTGGAGGGGGAGGGGGCAGGCAGGTGTGTGTGTGTTTTTGGTACATTGCACTGAAGACTGGGTTCCAGTGTCTCCTGTTGACCTTTTGGCTCACGGCCGAGGTCATTACACACCTAAGTGACTGTCGGGGAGCTGGTCATCAGAATATAGTCTCCCGCCCCCCCTCCGGGTTCCATAAGAGAGCCCAGCACCTCGCCAGACCCTGAAACTACTGCCCCAGCCAGCCAGGGTGGCCCCGCCCTCTGCGGCGTTATCACGCCGCTGCACCTTCCACACGTTCGCCCGTCCAGGCCTCAAATCACCATGCATTCCACGCACATAAAGAGAAATTTACAGAAACCGGGGTGCAGTAACTTATGATATAATGTATATTTCGCGTATAAATTTTCAGAGTGAAAGAGGCAGCTTTAAAATGCATATTAAAAAACATCCAATGGAGGACGAAATGACTCGGGACCTGGGGGAACTGTAATCATAGCCTCCATAAACATAAAAAGGGCCCACAGTAACCCTGCAGACTCCTTGTCTTCTGAGCACAATGGTGGGGGTGGATTTGGTGTAGAATAACATCATTAATGGTGCTAGCTTAGGGTTTGCCTTTAGTCATCTGCCAAGAAGCCCAGTCGCTCTTTTCATTAATACACTTTGCCAATGTGTGCCTTTTAGCAGCAGGAAATTGCCAGCTCCACCCAGGAAATGTTTACATTCAGAATGAATCCCCACCCTCCTCCGACCAGATAAAACTAGCAGCTCCTCCGTCGCATCCTTCGCAAGAAACGGGCTAACATTTCGGCCGCGATTTCACAGCTTCCCTCCACGTCCGCGTCTATGAAGCCGTCAACTTAAAACTTCGATGCAGCCTAAGCCACCGAACGGTCGGAGAATATCAAAATAAACACGCTAATCTTCCCAGGGTCTGTGTGTTGCGTGAGCAGTACCTGTGATATTCCAGTCACACAGCCTAAGCAGCCCGACCACATCTATCTGGTTCGGGGGGAGGAAGGGCAGTGAACATTGCTTCAAATACTCCTCCCGTTGTGATAAGCTGCCTTTAAACTTCATTTGTGCGTTGGGTTTCTGTAGGGGGGTGAGTACTTAAGGTTTCTTTTGAAGTCCTTTTGTTTTTTTCCCTAACATGCCGCTACGCACATCACCCCGCGTCTTAAGGCTGACTCGCGCGGAGGGAAAGGGATGTTGGGTAGTTGTTCACGCCTGGCGGATTATAGACAGAGCCGAGCGTCAGAGCCTCAGCAAGGCACCCGTACTATACGTCATGTCCACTTTCCCAGACCTCCCCCCCCCCGCCTTCCAACGTGAGTGAGGGGGTTTCAGACCCTAGGCGAGGCAAGCTGATTTGGAGAAGGGCCACCTGTCCCCATTGTGTCGCCGCGGGTGGAAAACCTCCGAAGATGCTGTCAGGAAGCGCAAAACAAACAGCCGAGATACGCTAAGCCGCCATGAACAGGCTGCTTTGCATCAAAAACCCCAAGCTTTTTTTTTTTTTCTCCCCTCCCGTTCTCTTTTTGCATAATCCACCAAGGGAAGTAAACAGTGGAGTTCATACAGCCGTCAAGGGGGCTTACTTTGAATAATGCTCTGATTTTGTGGGGTTCCCATGCATGGGAGAGAAAACGTGCTTGGGTTACAGGGTGGAGCAGCTGGTCTCGCAACATCTCTCATGTCCTGACTCTGTTATGGGCCGCATCTTTCCTTCAGATCCACCCCAGAACTACTGCTCCACTGCAGGAAGACATGTTAAACTGCACACCTTCTGTCCCCTTACGCTCGATTATTTTTATATGACATTCCCACCCAAAATAAGACATCTGGCCCGTCCTACTTCCCATTTCGAACTCGCAAAACACACAGGTGATAAGCCCCTGTAAATACGAAAACATAAAATACGCCAGATTGCATTTTTTTGCTGGCACGCTGCTTTGTTAGTGCTTCACCCCCCGAAGTGCTAAATGGATAATGAAGCTATTTTGGACAAACACTGACTCATGTCGCTCTCTCCTGTTGTGTTCAGCAATTTTTACTACATCGATTTCCAGTTTTGAGGGGGAAAGACTCCGACGTGTTTTAATATCAAAAATGCGAGAGTAACAAAGCAGGTTGGGTGGGGATTGAAGCTCATCGCAGGGCCTGTCTTTCAGTGCAGTCAAACAAATGGCAAGGCTTCCATCTTGACCATTCATGAATTTATTCAAACCGCAGTGGAGACAGACAGGAACAGACTGCTTCCCATCTAGGATGGTTCTGCTCCGGAGGAAGCCCGATGAGGCGTTCCAGTTACCCATGCCAGCATGTCATTATGTAGGATTTGAATGTGGAATATTAAAGCTTCTGAAAGTAACACCCGCTCCCCCCCGACTCCCCAGCTCACCCACCCAAAAAAAAAAAAAAAAGAAAAAGAATAACTGAAACTTGACAAAACACTGTTGGGGATCTATGCAAATGTCACACTGTTTGGTTTTTGGCTGAGAAGGCAGCAGCGGCCTTTGACGGAGCAGTTTGCTCTAACATCTAGAAATTCATGTAGCTCAGTTTCCCGCTTAATGTATCAATGGCCCCGGTCTTAACTGAACAAGATGATGACGAACAGCGAATTAGACGGCACAATTTCATCAGGAACCTGGCTAATCGTGGATAAACCACCTGGCTCTATGTCAGTTTGCATATGCTGTATGCGGGTAAAACACTAAGCAGGAATCTCCAGAGTCATTAACCTTTTAAAGCCATATTCTCTGTGCACGGTGAGCAAAATCCCCCTATTGGCTAACTTTGGTCACTTCACCTTCAAGTGCATCTCAGCTTTCATCGTATCTGTACAGATTCCCATCCCTGGTATGAATATGTCCTTTGTGTCCGTGGTGACAATGCTGAGGATAGGGCATCACCTCCCATGTTGAGAAAGTCCACAGCAGACGTCAATTCTGTATGGGCAGCTGCACCTGGTTGTAAGGGGACTACAGTTGGGACAGCTTTTGCCACTTCTTTTGTGGAAGCACATTTCCGACCTTTTATTTGCCATGGACTTTCAAAACAGATACCTAAGAGCCGAAAACCAAGGTGAACGCCAAATGTGAATCACCAAAATGACAGCCAGCTATTCACATTGGAGCGTTGAAGCACAAAGAAAACTATTATCATCCTTTCCTGTGATGACATCTGTCCAGTTTGCTTGTTTGCTAAGCAATGCATTCGTAGTGGCATATTCTGAACTTTAAAAACAAGTGGTGGGCATGATAGATATTACAATCTTCATTTGGCAATTTGTGTTAAAGAAAAACGTCTCAATAAGGCATACCTATAATTATTATGAATACATTATTTGTTCTCAGCTTTAAAACAATGAACAAAAGTTACCAGTATAAATGTATATGTCTGTTGGCAGGCATCTCATAATACAGACTCTCTTTTCACACGTACAGGTATTTCAACACACATTTTATATAACATCTGAAGGAGAACATCAGGTCCTAAATTAGTATATCTAGTTTAGCCTAAATTGTGCAAATTCATTCACACAACAGCTAATCTAGGAATTCATTCTAATTAGGAATTCAGCAGCAAATAATAACCAGCATAAACCATTGTTCTTCCTTGCCTTAAATTTATCACAAGTACTTTAGATCAACTTTTATCTGTGTGCATTCAGTGAGACCTACGGGTGGAAAGACTCAATCTGTGGTGGGATTTCATGCGAGGAATTCACTAAAAAAAGAATCAGATTGGAACCATACCCACATACGGACAAGTGTTACATATAGATTCACGTGTAACAGAGACAGAGAGACATGACCACTGCACATTTTTGAAGGTGAAATTCTGTGTGGCTTCTACGTTTGACCTTTGTTTGCAGTGTTCTAGGCTGCAGACCACCACCTTTTATCATGCCACAATTGAGAACGCAGATTGAGAACCCTAACCCTCCCCAAGAGATGGGCATGTGCTGGGTTCACAGAGGCTTTTTAAAACCTACGTTCACCATGCAGAGCCTCCACGAGGCGCCAATAATGATCCCACATGGCTAAAGCGTTGTCAAAAATAACCAAAACGAGGAGGATCTATATAATTTCAGTAAGTTGTCACACGGCCTTATAAGTCATACATCAAGGAAACTAAAAAGTAGTGCAGCCAAGTATTTCTACCAGTCATATATGTCCCTCAGTCTCTCTGCCGGAGACAAAAAATTATTCACACGCCAAACATAAGTCCTGCAGATAAACAATCTCTTAAGTCTATCAAGACCATTAGCTGGAAATGCTCTCAATGCCACATAAAAGGCAACAGCTCCGTCACACAGAGATTTGTTTGGTCTCACTGACGTACACGTACCTTTCCTCCAGTGCATGAAAGGGCCTCCATCGATCTCCTCCCCAGTGTTTATATTTAACAACAGTTCTCTCAGATCACCTCTCAGATTTGCACTTATGTCTGCTAAAAATACACCCGCTTTAATTGATTGGTGGCATTTGCAGTTTTCCAGTAAATGCCCAAGTACTTCAAGGCTCTGGTTCCACAGGTAATGGCAAATCACTGCAGGCCAGACGACAGCACAAATACACATTTTAAAAAATAAAAAAAAAAATGATTTCCACCCACAAAGTAACAGAAGAGAAGATGGCTTGAATGCTTTTCTAAAAGCCTTGAAAAGTTTATTAATTTCATTATTCACAGTGGTAATGTATGTTCGTCCACATAGCACAACCCGATGCTATTCAGACACATTAACATTTTATTCTACAGAGAATTCTCCAGTTGTGACCCGACCCCCCCCCCGCCCCACAGAACTTAAACACAGCTCACATGTCAAACCGTCAAAGCCTTGTATTAAGTCTTTATTAAAGTCAAAGCTGAACTGAATAAACAAGGACTTTCTGAGCAAGTACATTTCTTTAAGGAGTTCACAATTTTATAAAAGGAATGTCAACATCCACAAGACTGATCATGCATAACATGGTCAATAGCTGTGCTCCTGCTGAAAGCCCTAACCAGATATAGCCTAATGTCCTCCAAAAACCCATTCTATGAATGCCATCGATGACAGTGTTTGCAAGTGCTTTCAAGCAAAAAAAAAAAAAACACAAACATTATAAAAAATAATTAAATCTGAAGAGTAAAGAAAAAACAACAGCAGAAAAAAATCCCTAAGAGACTGTTTCACAGAAGCATGGCAAACGATTGGAGATATTACTGATCCACGATGTGCGGGGGCCTCCACTTGTGTCCCCCCCCCCCCTCAGTACTGGGTGTACTCCTTGGTCTGGAGCTTGGCCACGATGCGCTCCAGCTGCCTCTTCGCTTCGCACTGCGGGAAATTGCTCATCTCGTAGTACTGGGGGGCGATTTTAACCAGCCTGAAAAGACCGGGGGATAGGCGGTTTGATGCACAGCAGAGACACACCGACCTAATGATCTCCACATTTACATTTAAGTTACTGGGCTGACGCTGTTATAGAAAATGAATTATAACCCATTTGTGGGAATCCGGCTTAAAGTACCTCCGACTACAGCCAAGGCCCCCCACCCCACGTCATTATGAATCCTGCTGCTGAAGAGCCAAGCCACCAGCAGACCTTTAGAGATACATCTAAACGTACGGTATACAGCCCTCTTCAGCATCCACTGAGCGGCTAAGTGCATAAATGTGCTATATTAAGCTTGAATATAAAATGTCTACACATATAACAACAAACAAAGGGAGAGTGAACATGTGACCACAGAGGCGTCTCGTGCTCCGGAGACGGCAGCCGGCAGCAGCTCACCACTCGGGCTTGATGTCTGTACACGTGCGGATGTAGTTCTTGGTGGTGAGCACGAACTCGTTGTACAGGACCCACTCTGGCTTGTGGTCCAGGACGGTAGATGGGTGGAGCTGCACCACCTGGTTGTCCTTCACGGTCAGGTAATGCCCTGTGCGCTCCAGGTGAGCCACCTGCCCACGCCGCGGGAAAACACAAAAAAAGATGAACACGCACGTAAACGAAAGTGCACGCAGAGAGGCGATGTGGGCACTCAACATGGGATCCATCCATCCCCCATTATTTTTCTGAGCGTTATAAAACTGGTAGGAGTCTAGCAATCTGGAGGACAGACTGACACCATCCGGGGGTTTCAACTCAAAAGGTACTCAGGTCACATGCACAAAGAGGGGCGGGTCCCATGCAGAGGGGTGGACCAATCAGCATCCACATTGCACCAGGCTGCAGAAGAGCAAACCAGCAGCAGCCTAGGGCTTCGCTCTGTTAATCCCGGACTTTTAATATATGCAGATGACGGGTGCCATGATTATCAAGACGAAATCGGTCTCAACAAACACAATTTAAAACAAAGAAAATAACCCTAACTGCAGCATAAGTAGGGAATTTGTCTTTCAGGGGGAAAAAAAAGGTTAATGTTGACAAATATTTAAATATTAACAGAGTAATTCGACTTGTCAGGTCAGCCTTTCACGTCGCCTAGAAACGCACTTTCACTGCGGCATTTATATTTCCAGACAACGCATAAATTTGCCATTTCTCCATCCTCATATAAGTGCGAGTACATGCATAAAAATCCAATCCATTATGATATGAAACACTCCCTTTTTATTTGAAATAAAATAAAGCTCGAGTCAGTTCAGACATGTTATTGTTTGTGTTCCCCAACAGTCCTGCAGATTTGCCGTTATTTGCTGTAAAAGTCGCAGAGGCAGTGAAATTTGCACGGCCTGGTGGGGCGGCCCTCACTGGCCTGAGGGGGGCGCCGCGGGTGCTGACCTGCATGAAGAAGCCGGTGACCAGGGCCCTCCGGATATTGATGTAGTAGTCGCGGCTGGTGAACTCGGTGCTCCGTCGCGGCAGGTTGAAACGGTCCATGATGCGGGAGAGCTGCTGGCGCACGCTGTCTGCCGACATCAGCGACCGGTAGTTCACAAAGTTGTCATAGCACCACTGCACCGACTCGTGATCTGCAGAACAGTGTGAGGGCGTCACGCTCGTGTGTGTAAGTTGGGAAGGGGGGGGGGGCCTTATGTAGGTCACAGCTTTGGGACAGTGGGGACCCATAACTTCATTACAGGGCTGTCAATCTCATTCTGGCAAGCCGCCTGCATCCAAGGCTGCTCTAACCTCCTCGTTCGGCTGGTTCTGACTTTTTTTTCCCCTCAAACAATGACAAAGTACGTCTGAAGGCTGCCGCTTTTTCACCATGCATAACTGGAAAAACTGTACCTCAACTGTGGATTTTAGCAGAAACTACTTCAAAACAAAGTTGTGAGTTTTTTGTCCTGGTGGCTGGACTGCAAATCCTGCCTTCAACCCACAAATTTTCCCTGAAAGTTGGAGGACCTGCTTGCAGGGCTGGATGTAGATTAACATCATACCCAGGACGAAGCAATTGCAGGTTAAGGGCCTTGCTCAAGGGCCCAATGGAGTAGAATCACTCCTGGCATTCATGGGATTCAAAGCAGCAACCTTCCGATAGCTGGCACAGATCCCTTGCCTCAGAGCCACCCCTCCGCCTGTGATAAACAGCAAGAATTGAGAACCGCAGGTTTTAGGACGAGACCACATGATTGACACTCTCCCACATCCACGTGTCTCAGCAGGCATACGTACTCTGTTTGAAGGCGTGATAGACGTTCAGCAGTGTCAGGTGGTCGCCGTCTATGTGAGCGAAACGCATCTTGGACTCGTCAGCCGCCTTCTTAGCCTCCGTGGGACGAACGAAACACTGCGGGACTAAACAAGGTTGGTATGGGCCCAACACAGACGCCCATAGGGATGAGTCAAGCATTCACAGACACAGGAACAAGGCCTAGAAGCTACATCAGTTCACAGAGCTCTAGGGTAGTGCGGCACGAGAGAGGGGGGCATTCCGGCTGAAGAAAGAGCAGCCTATTGGCTTAGCAGGTCAACACGTCCACAGAAAAAGGCTACATAGCTGCAGGACGTCAGAGGGGAGAAAAACAAATCACATGACATACAGACAGATTGAGTCGCGTTTAAGTCATTTATTGGCCACATGAAACTAGAGACAGCCTTGGGTGGAGTTAAGGCTGACTTATAGCTTGGCACCAGACTGAGATCATAGGTACAGCACAGCCACGTTCCCCATGCTGTAGCCTGAAGCGCGTCTCCCCAAAAATGCAACTTCATATCGCGGCGACGTAGACCGCAACAACTGTGATTGGTCCGCTTGGTTGGACTTCCCGCTAAGCAAATATTTTGTCATCGCTTTTTTCCAGCTGGGGATGGGACAAATCTGTGTATAGCTTGTTGCTAGCCTGCTGTATTTTCCACGGTTGTAGCTGTTCATGGTAGGGCTGCACAATATTGGAAAATTTTTTGAGATATTGTGATGTTAATAAAGAAAAAAAGTTTAAAATGAAATTTCTCACAAACCCATCTATGATTCGTTTAAACAGCAAGTATGAAAATGATTATAATTGGCCCAGAGAGCACATGCAGCCCACAGAAAAGCAGGAGTAAACTTTAAACTGATTTTTAAAAGTATACTAGATAATCTTGTAAAGGAACTATCGTTAAAACTGAAAAGCTTGCAAAGTTGTTTCCTATAACAGAGTAAAAATAAGTTAGCAAAACCCACCACAGTCAGTGAACTGCAGAGCGACACAGACATGCCACAGCACAAGTATAAATGCTCACCACAACAGTGTAGGTCACTTCTGTAGGCTACAGCGTAAGCTGTGCATAGGCTCAATGCGCAAGTATAAATCAGCCTTTACAGTAATGCGGCACACTGTGGTATTTTGAAACCTTGCCGACAAAATCTGTTCAATCAAATATATCGCACAGCACCCACCACGGCCGGCAAATTTCATAAAATATCGGAATAGCACTACTTTTGAAAATAACGCATACCACGCCGTAATGTCTGGACAGCATGACGGTATGAAAAATGAGATATTAGCCAAGCCTAGCTGGGTGGGAAAAAAAAGTTTCTGATCGTTAGGAGGAAAATAATCATTACCACAAGAAAGGATGTAAATGCACAAAAGACAATACCGAACTTGCTTGTTAAGGGGAGAGAAAACCTGGGGCAAATATAAAGATGGTCTAAGCATACCGTCAAGTTGAAGGAGAATTAGTCTACCAGTAAAAACAGGCAAATTCTGCATAAACTTTGATTTTTAACAGACACAGTCTCACCTTTCTTTTCCTGGGAAAAAGAAGAAAAAATAAAGATGGCACTACGCCAGGCGTGCCCAATCTTATCCGCAAAGGGCCGCTGTGTGTGCGGGTTTTCACTGCAACTCCCTAATTAAATTACTAATTAGACGACTGATTGGCTGAAGAGTCCTCACACCTGGGTTTGAACAGCTGACCTACAGGTTATCCCAAAAACCCGCATACACACCGGCCCTTTGCGGATAAGATTGGGCAACCCTGCACTACGCAATATTCGGAGAGTGAACGTCACGAGGGAGAACACAGCGTATTTGACGGACGATGTGGACGGGCCGTTCTGACGCTGCGCTGACGTTGATCGAGTGGAGCGAGGTGTGATGACGGAAAGTGGTGACGCACATCTGTCCGGTCGCCCCCCCCAATTCTCTTCTTCCTCCAGAGGTGCTCTAACCACCACCTTTTTGACCGCGGGGAGAACATGCTGACTCAGAAGTTACCGAATGCGAGAATCGGGCTGTTCTGGAGATGCAGCGTCCTTGCCCAGTGCTGCTGACATCGTAATGAACTCAGCAGAAAAATGCAACTCCCCGACATGCCGAATACTAATCTGTGCTGCATACTAACTGCTAGTTAAATCCCCTCATCCCATTCAAAGGCATCCGTTTTCATCTCAACCCACGGTGCTCATTGTGTGTCATAGTCTGCCTCTACGAACTCTTTTTTTTTTCGTGAAGATGCAACTTTTCCCTGCTAATTCCGTGGGGAATTACTAATGGTGTGTGGAACACACAGAGTACAGTCCCTCCGCCAGAACAGTCTATGTATGAAAGTGAGGGTGCTGAACACTGTTTTGTATACGACTGGGCAACTCGTCCACCATGACACTGGGGTGTTCTGGAGTGTGGCCTGGTGCTACAGCAGCTGTGGATGGTGTCCTCCTAGGCATTACCTGATAGCATGGCGGTGATGGAGAGGATCTCGTTGGAGCAGTTGAACTCGCAGCTGGCGATCACCATCTTGGCCAGCTGGGGATCCAGAGGAAACTCGGCCATCATGGAGCCCAGCTCCGTGAGGTCGCCGTCGTCGTTCAGGGCGGCCAGGTAGTTCAGCAGCTCCAGGGCCCGCATGAGTGTCTCGGGAGCTGCGGCGAGAGGAATCCTGCTTCGGTGGCATTCGATACATCCAGGATGCTACATTCCTCATTCAACGCCACAGTGTCACTAATGCAATTACGATATAATGCGATTTTAACCTGTTCGCTTAAAACAATGTAACCCCTGCATAAAATGCAATTACTGACCTTCAGCTGCAGACAGCCCAAGTTCAATCAAGAGCCACACATTCGCCCCAAAATTACAAGACTCCACGATTAGCTCCCGGCCAAGTGCGCCAAGCACCCACCCCAAGTTGCCGGCCTATGAAATTTCCCCCACTAAAAACACTGAACACCACATTCCGCCTCGAATGAGATATTGATTCAGAGTGCTAGCTAAGCGACTAAGGGCTACATTAGCTTGCCTCAGTCAAGGCCTTCTGCTAAATCCAGCTCATGAGTAATATGAACTTAACTACCAGAAAATATAACTTCACACACACACACACACACGCACACACAACACATCACTGAAGGCACAGTTCAAGAATTTAACAAAGTTCTTACTTTAATCACACCTGAGTGGCTTCCTGAACGAGGGTTTTACAGAAATCGATTAAAACTCAGGGCTATATGCCACTAAAAGTGCATGACATACAGGCTTTGAAAACATAACTCTGAAAATGTCACAGAGACTCTTATGACCAAAGTCTTCTTGAATCAGTCTTGTCTACATCCTGTAATTTGCTCATCTAGAATCTAAGCAACTGCCGCATGGCTTATTAAGTGGGGAAAGAGGCAGACCAACAGAGAAATAAAAGTCAGCCCTTCCAAGCGTGTGGATAGCAAAGGTTAGTGGCTTGGTTACTGAACAAATTAAGTCCCCTATTCAATTTAGCAAAGCTAAATGCAATCAGGACTAAAAGTCAATGGCATTCATGACTGCAGATTTTCGTAATGACACTGTAATCTCTGGCCTCGAGAGAGGTGACCCAAACCACCACCCCACCCTGGGTGAGCTGGAGTGAAGCCCTCGTGCCATCACAGAGTAACTCCTCTTGTCTCAGTTAGTTTTGATCAAAATGGGAGAAAATGCGGGGGAAAAGCTAACCGCCCTCCCCTCCCCATAATGCTAATCTCCAACAAAGTAACAATCCTCCCCCCCTCCCCCAAGCAGGCTCTCCCCCGCAGAGACCACAAACTTCCCCAAGTCCGTCGTATGGAAATGCTGTTTGGGACCGTAAAAAGGAGGGAAGGTTTAATTGAAGTGCGGAATTAAAGACTGTACAAGGTGGCAGGTCCTGTAATGGGAGATGGGGGGGGGGGTTTGAAGCTCAGCGACTCTAAGCTCCAGCCACCCCCCCCCCCCAAGAGAACGATCTCCCTGACAGCCCAAAGCGCTGGAGCAAGCAAAGGCTGGCTGTGGAGAAGAGAAGCTCCTTTCTGCTTGGAATTAAACCACAGGCTCAGGAAGGTCCAAGGCTGAGTGGGCGAACCATCCAGACATGCACCAGGCACAGAGCATTTAATTACAATTAGGGAAGCGCTGCATCTCAAACAGAAGAAGCCGAGGCCTCACTTGTCTGACCGGCCATCTTACTCCCCTCTCACCTGGTGGGTCCATAAAGTCAAAGTGCACCAGGTCGTCGATGCCCAGTTTCTTCAGCTGCAGCACGACCGAACCTAGGTTAGACCTCAGAATCTCAGGGTATGTGTTGTCCTGTCACAACACAGAAAGGAGAGAAAATTGATACAAATGAGTCAGGCCCCAATTATCTTTTCATATACGCTCATATGTCATGAGAACAGAACCTCCAGACTGCAGCATCTGAAGGGCCATTTAACTTGTTTTAAAATTCACTTTGGCACTCTGCTTGACATGAAAGAATTACCCTGTTATAGTGAAGACTTGGCTCTCACATGTACATTTGTCAGACTATCTTTTTCGTTGCCACCGGCTAATACAAGCGGTGGGGATGGATGCCGTGGCGTGTGGCATCGGACTGCAGAAATTACACCAGTACGCATAAGGCGTTCATCTGTGCAGACGTGAAGCAAATTTGCAAATACGTGTGATGAGCACCAGTAGTTCCAATTCTGCATCTTAACGTCTTCAATTCAGTCCGCTCCTGCTCCTCCCTAAAGCACTTCATGTGAACTCCCATGATGTCAGCCGTTGTAGTTTGTCCAAGGCCGGGGGGATCAATTCCTTTTTCATCTGGAATCAAAGCTGAGTCTCGGGTCTTACGTAAGGCTGTGACTGATTAAAGAGGGAGTCTACTCCTAGTCACAGTCTACTATTTATCTGTCACCAGATTTATTTCACATGGCAACATCTACTTTAACAAGTGAGATACGGAAAACGTAGGCACCAAGTCTAGGTAAACTTTAAATGTGAAAAAGCTACTTAATTACAGTCATTTACATTCACAATCTCTTACCCTGGATTAGAAACAGCTCAAATGTCACAGGTCATTAAAATCGTGAACCAACCAACCATAGATGCAGAATAATAAAAAAAAAAAAAAGGGGAATGAGTGAGATTTTGAGGCCTTCACTCTGAACATCAGCAGTACAATTTGGTCTTTTTGTCCTTGTGTCATTCACATCCCAGTCTTGTAGGATTTGTCCCTAACTCACCAGCATCATCTCAGTCTTGTAGTTCTCATCCCTAACTGCCCATCATCCTGGGCTTGCAGGCCTTCTCCCTAACTTACCCCCAACCTGTACTTACAGGACCTGTCCCAAACTGTCAGTGGTGTAGGCCTTGTCCCTAACCATCCTGCATCTCAGTGGTGTAGGCCTTGTCCCTAACCGTCCTTCATCTCAGTGGTGTAGGCCTTGTCCCTAACCGTCCTGCATCTCAGTGGTGTAGGCCTTGTCCCTAACCGTCCTTCATCTCAGTGGT